AAAATCAATAAGAAAAATGAATTAAAATAAAATGTACCATTAGTGTCAACACATTCTAATTGTATGTATGTATGTAATATGTATGAATATTTAGTTTTAAACATATAACTTTATCTGTCCGCCAATAAAAGGATATATTTGCATGAGATTAAAAAATGTGAATTTGTGTTAAATTCAACAAATTCAACAACTTTATAAATCAAGGACCAAGTAAATCTTATGCTATCTAATATCCTTCAAATAAATATATCTGTTTGTTTGTCTGGTGCCAACCATCATAAACTAGCATAGGACAGAACATTTTGATGAATCAACCACACACACGCACGCACACACACACAAACGCACACACACAGATACACTTGATATCCATCCGGTGATGTTTACAGGTAGTGAGACTGTGAGATAGATAGATAGTTTAGTTTGCAATTCTCTTGTTGTAAAAGTTAACGTAACGCAATATACTTTCTTCTTACCTTATGCTCTTAAACTGTATACCACACACACACCACAAACACACACACACTCACAATGGTTTTTGAAAAATTATTTTGAAAAAAAATAAATTGAAAAAAATTCATACTCAAAAATAAACTTTCTAATTTAGAATTTTGCTCAGTGAGTCATGAAAATAATTTTTTTGATTATTATTAAATTTTATTTATTCAGTTAAATGCAGAAAAAGTGATTGAATTATTTACCCCTCTTAGTCCGTCTCATCTCATGTTCAACTAACAAATGAAATGAATCAGATTTAAAAAGCGATGATTTATTGCAGAAAATATTAAATCCATTATATCCACAAAATTATATTGCATTCAGTTTTTAATGTTAAATGTCAGAAATATTAATTTTGTTCACAGACACACACACACACCACCACACACACACACACAAACACACCACACACATACGTATCCACAGTATGTGTGTGTGAGTGTGTGTAATGTACACAGTACGTACGTTTAATGAGTGTATGAGTGTTGTTCAAGTGTCTTGTACTTGACCTTATAATAAAATTTTTGGTTTCAAATGCAAAAACTTAAAAATACGTTGAAGTTCGAATAATAATAATAATAATAAATTATTAATGAAAACACTTTTATTTTCACAAAAATTTGACAAAAAAGAAAAATTAAAAGTGTCATAATTAAAATGGGTGGTAGTTGCCTCTGTTGGATCTGCGTAGATCGAAACCTCGACAACATCTTCATACGATTGAATCTTCTCCAAAATTGTCGGTAGTATTATGTTGTGTCGCAATGTACATCTGTTTAGGGCCGTAACCGAGCCTCAAGTTGACAACACATGCTTGTTAGTTTGGCGACCCTGCGTTGCATATCTTTCCCCTTCGGAAGAGGTTGGAATTTGTTGGAAGTTGTTGAATGAGAGCCTTTCTAACAAACCTGGATAAAACATCCGGTAAGTCAGCTGTGAATGTTGACCATTGAATAATATGGATGTTTGGAATATGGTTTTTATTCGTTTCAACTATCGTCCCCTGGCAATGGAGCGATGATAGAGGATTAAAATCTGATTCTTGTTGACCTGCCAATAGTGCTCTAAGTGTAGGTTTTATTTCGATTGAACCAAAAAGGATGTTGTCTATCTTGATGTAGTTGTTGTAAGATTCAATGTGTAAACACCTAATTTCTTTCTTCACTGGTGTGCGTTTTGAGGTAGTTGCGAAGTTTGACTGTTTTATTTGTTACACAAATAAACGTTGGAGTTTACAGAGAAAAGAAGTTTTTCAGCCTTTGTGTTTATTCCATCAAGATCATAATAGAAAAATTAATAATACACATTGCAATATATAACGTAATTTACAAATGGCCTGGACTGTGTTTAGGCCTTTCCACATACCTTACGTTAAATAATGAGTATGCATGTATGTGTGTGTGTGTGTGTGTGTGTGTGTGTGTGTTCCTGCAAAATGTCATCGGAAAGTAGATTATTTAAATGCTTGCAGTACAATGCGATATGACTCAATACGTACTACACACATTCAAGTTCATTGCCAAGTTTTAGATTCTTTACGTGGAATTTGTAAAAGATTAGTATTATTCATCAATTTGAAATCCTAGGTACTCGATTCAAGGTACGATGCTTTACATTCGCTTGTTTATAGCGCAGGCTAGAGTATATTTTTAGTACTACTCAGTATGTTATTTACACGTATTTATAAATAAAAGATCATTTCGTTGGCTAAATGACAACATGAAATATATCTTCAGTCACTTTCTCCAATCGTTTCGTGTCTTCTATTGTTAAGCTTGTTTCTTGTTATGTACAATATTTTTTGATGACAACTTTAAAATTAAGAAATAAATGTTCAGTGCTGGTTAATTTTATGAGAATGGTAAATACATGGTTATTCGTAGCGGAATAGTTGTAGCATTATTGAGTAGTATCGGTGTATCGGTGGCGGCGTTAATTTTCATTTTAAAGTCCAGATAAAAATGCTAGCGCTGCTTTTGCGTCACAAATTATACTCTCATTAGATCGTGCGTAATAAATAATAAACTTCCAATTAAAAAAAAAACCTAGATTGAATGGCGTTGTTTAGCTTCTATAGTTCTATTTTTTAGTTGCTGCTTTACTTAGATTCTTATTTGTTAATTTGCAACTTCAGTGGTTTGTTTTTCATTATATCTTATAAAAATGCATGGTTTCAATTTAGCATGTAGTTTTATTCAGTTTTAGCACGATGATCTTGTTCTTTTTGGTGTTTTAGCGTCTTTCGTTGCAGATGCATCTGTCCTGGCACTAGATAGAGTGTTCAAGAAGTTAGTGTTTTTTTTATTGAAAATCCATTCACGAAGAATAGCTGAGGCGGGCCAGTTTGATGCAGTCCCTCATTACTTTGCCATACTCTTCGGCCTGGACACACAATCGAAACGAGAAGTATTTTATTTCGTCATCATTTTAGACGTGTTTAGAGGCCGGATTACAGAAAATCAAATTCATTCCCCTGTTTTGTAGTGTTTCCCGATTATAGATCTATCAGGTAGTTTAACATTTCTAATGTAAAAAAAACTTTTTTAAGTGATAGATTTAGATACATTAAAGAGAGGGCTAGCGGTTAGTGATTGCACAATCTTTGAAGATTTGTGAGATATATCTTTGTTGATGTTTTCTTCAACAGGTTGAACGATTGACAGTAATAATCTTAATTTGAATTTTTTCTTACTACGCTGAACAAGTACGATCGTCAGAAACATTGTCATCAGATTGTAGTTCACTATTAGGCGTGTTAGTTCTCAACATTACACTCTCCGGGCCTTGAGTAACGATTGCTTCATTTTAAAACTTGCATCGTACACAATATTGCTTGAAACAAGATTTTTACCAGTATTCGTATCATGCGTTGTAATTGAAATAAGATCTGTACGAGTAGACACACCTGTTAATTTTATCACCAGCTATTTATTTGTGTACAATATTTCATTTTTCATTTTTCATTTTTATTTCAAGCCATTTTGTCATTTTTATCATTTATTGTTTCTAACATATTATCCGACATGGAATAAGGTATTATTTTTATATTTGAAATTATAACTGTTGGCTGATGTTGACAAAAATCGTTTACTGACATGTAATTATTTAAATCAAGAATGTCCAGGATTCTATCAAACTTGATATTGCCACGTTGTTTAGTTGGAACTTTTTCTTTTTTTTTCATAATTGTAAAAATTATCAATGTTATTATAATATACTATGGCACTTGTGAAGCAAATAATTTTTTTGGAAGACACATTACATTATATGTGTATTTATATAACTCACATTTAAAACTCATTCATTTGTAACACTGCATGAAAATATTATTAAAAGTCGTTGGATGTTGTAAATATATAAGTTCTAATGTATTTTTTTAAATTTTTTGCCCAGTCAGAGTTTTAGATTTTTATACGCCGAATTTGTGAAAGAATTCATCAGTTCGAAATCTTACTTCAATAAATTGATCTTACTTCAATAAATTCATCAGTTCGAAATCTTACTTCAATAAATTCATGTCTCAAATTTTCATTCAAATTTGTTTTTCATAAGCGTGAGGCAGTTAACAAGACAAAACGCGTAGAATCACGAAGAAATTTACTTTCTTGGCTCGCAGTTGGTTGTAAAAATTAGAGCCTGTTTACCTTTGAACATTTTTCGGGGATTTGATACGAATTTAAAACAAATTTTATGTGTATACATGTGCGCGTGTGTATGTGCTTAATATTATTCTCCGATTTTTGTTTTAATAAGTACCCCGTTCTTCGGAATAAATAAAATATACAGTGAGGTTTTCCTTTACAATTTCTTTACACAAAATATAAAATATCTCAGAAACTCATTTCAATTCAATCATTCAGGACAAATTACATCGCATGAAAAAATTTATTAAATGTCAGGTTGTAAATGTCTATGTGTCTAGGTACTTTGATAAATTCTTTGTTCAACCAAAGTGATTTTACTTTGTGTAATCAGTGGCAGGCATATAAAAGGGAAACTCATTGAGTCTTCATTCAAAATTCTCACTTAATCACGTCGTTTTTGGCATCAGAGGTCAGAGTAACTTGCTTGTAGCAGAAATGTTGGAAAGTGGACAATCTGAAACGACGGTTGCTGGATTCCTACTTGCAAAAATACAGAAAGCTGGTTTGCCAGCCTGAGTTAAACAGGTTCAAAAAAATTTTAATGGAGAACAAATGGTTTCACAAATTGACTAATAAGGAAATTGACATCTTTACGCTTATTATTTTAGCAAGAGAGCATGCGAAATCGAGTGAAGAAAATGAGCTGATGAAACGAATTCATTCGCTCCCCGTAGACGAACAATATCAGCTTTTTAAATTTTTTCAGGATTTATACTTCGACCAAATGTTAGAGAGACCAACACTGCAAGACGAGATATCGAAAGCGGTAATTTCTTGAAGGTGGAGATTAGACTGTACAATACTTTCTACCATTCTTTGGCTCAAAATAGAAAATATGTCTGGATTTACCATAAAGAAAGATTTCGATACGACGAATGTAGTATTTGCTTTGACAAATTCGAAGAAAACTGCTTCGTATACCAACTGAAATGCTCTCACTTATTCCATTTGTCGTGCTTATGTGAGTGGCTTATGCAAAAGACTTCATGTCCTCTGTGCCGCAGTCAAACCGAGTCTATTTGGAGATTCAGGCGCCTATTTCAGGTGGATAATAATGGAAATTTTGTTTGTTCCGCGACAATTGAAGCAATCTATGTTTGAAGTCTGACATTTCATTTACTAATTGAAACTTTTCTTCATTTAGGCTGCCTGCTATTTTATTTTCTTTATTTTCCTTCATTTTATTTCGTTTTTATTTTTGTACTTCATAATTATTTACTTGTGAGCTGAGTCCAGTTTAATTTGTAAAAACTGGGCTATATAAACTGAATTGATTTAATAAAATTATAGTTTTACTTCATGTGCTTTAATAATTTGTACCGAAATATAATTAAGCGACATAAAGTATTAGACTCTTGTGTTTGTGTGAGGATGTGTGTGCGTGTGTATGTAAGTGAGTATGTTAAAACCAAAACATGATGAGTGACACTGAACCGTCAAACATCAAGTAACAAATGGATTAACACTTTGATTTGTCAAGTGAGTATGTATGTAAGTATGTATGTGAGTATGTGCGTGTGTATGTAAATCCGCTGAACCGTTGTATACGTGGCAGATTGCACCGCTGACTGTCCTTATATGGCTTTACATTAAAAGCTTTAAGTTCATGACGGTGATGAGGAAGATGATTACGTCTAAGATGACCATTATAACGGTAATACAATCAAATCCATGATGTTGAACGCTCAAAAAATAATAATGAAAATATTTGAATTTATTAATGAGTTAGTAGTGGTTGCTAAGAAATGAAAATAATAATCGCATCACCATCACATTACCATCATCATCATCACATCACCATCATCGTTGTTATCATCATCACTACATTACCAACATCATTATCATCATCAACAAATGAGTTGTGAAAAAAGTACATTAGCATAGAGGACAATGAAAAAGGTACACAATGGAAAGTGATGATGATGACGACGACGACGATGATGATGTTAATGACAACTATGATGATGAAGATGATGGATGTGAGGATAGTGATGATAATAATAATGATAACGATAATGAAGATGATTTTAAAATAAAGATGGCTTTGGCGTGTGTATGCGTGTATTTGTACGTGTGTGTGCGTGTGTGTACAATAAAATGTTTGACCCGTAACTATAAATAATAAAAACGTTGTATAATAAAACCATCACAAACATTACAATGAAAGAGTGATTAAAATAATTAGTAGAGGGGGATGCATATCAATAAATAATATAGGACAATTTATTATGTAACGTTGGTAGCTAACTATTGTTACAAGCATTACCAATTTAATATATAACATTACATCATCACCATTATCATTGTCTGTTAATTTTTGTCATTTTTATCATCATCAACATCTATGACTATGATGAGGATGATCTTTTTCATCGTCGTATTTTTATCCCTTATATACATCGCCCAACAATTTTGTGTTATTAATAATAATAACATAACCACTCACTTGCCATTGAGTCAGACAGTCAGACGGACAGACAGACAAACAGTCAGACGGACAGACAGACAAACAGTCAGACAGACAGACAGACAAACAGTCAGACGGACGGACAGACAGAAAAATAGACTGACGTTTGCAAAATTACAAATACGTAAATATAAATACACAACCTGCATACATACTCGCTCGACATAAATTACAAACACATGTGTATTTATAAATTGTGTATAAGAGGACTAGACGCATGCATCCTATTCTTTTGTACGTAAATACATACATAGTTATTTGTGTGTTATGTTGTGTGAATTTCCACATAATAAATATTACATTGCAAATGGTTTTCATAGAAATTTTCATATTTGATACCTGAAAAAAACAAATTCTTTTTTATGCTAAATACTTGCGTTTACATTTGTCATTGAAAATAAGGAAATAAACTGACACTCACACACACACACACACACACACACACACACACACACACACACACACACACACAACACACACACACACACACGGACAATACAATCTGACCTACCTAGTACCTACCTACAACAAACAAGCACGTGTAGACATACAACAAAAAGACTGCACAGGAATTAAGTGGAGTCATGTGGAATTATAAATTGGCTTACAACAAACACACACGCTATTAAATGTTACACACAATGTTTGAATATTGACACACACACACACACGCACACACAAACACGCAAGCACGCAAGCACGCACACACACACACGCGCGCGTGCAAACATACACACACACGCGTATATATAAAATAAATATATATATATAAGTTATAATATACATATATTATATCATTATAGCATATAGATATATTTATTTATTTTTTTAGGTTAGAACTTATTTATAAGTCATTCAATCATGATAGAAATTGTTTTTGCCGATGCTTCTTTCTGTTTACAGTGCATGAAAATATCATTAAATATCTTTGCTGGTTGTAATGTACTTTGTTGAATTCTTTGACCAACGAAAGCAAAGTGATCCTACTTTGTGTGGCCACTACATGACATTTAGTCCTCATCAAGGGTTCTAGCTGGCAATCACTTGACTACATCATTCCTCACATCCCTTCAATATAAGAGCGGATAAAATATGCGCATACTATTGTCAGTAAAAATGTTCAAATACGATACGATACGATACGATGTTTTATTTCCTCCCAAAAATGAAGCCAGGATGATTGAGATAATGATCATAGAGAGCTCATCTAGCACAGCCAACTGAACCCAAATGCAAACAAATTAACGTATGTCAAGCAGAAAGTAATGAGAAAGTTGTATTAAAAAAAACAGTATCTCCTTTTTTTTTACATATTTCTTCTGTCATTAAAGTTTAACAAAAACAATTGAAAAATTATTGTGAACATAGCAAGTGATATTTCTTTGCATAAGAAATCATTCCTTGGTCCTCTACAGACAACATGAGAATGCAACAGATTTGTTCTCGAGCTGTTGGTCATCAGATAATTGACACGTCTAGAGTTGTTGACTATTTTAAAACATTCGACAAACGTTGGAGGAACCTTCTTGGAAAGTTGCTTAAAAACAAAAATGGCTCTGAAATATTTACCGATCTGATCAAAATTTAAATTATTAGTGAAGAAGAAAATTTATGACTTGTATGAGTGAGTTGTTTAGACAGCATTATAATCCTTACTGCTCTCTATATCAACATTTTTATTGAAAGATACGCGCCAGCCCACACAATGTTACACATTAAAACATCATAAAGAAGATTCACTTTTTTTTGGAAAGAAGAAATTTATTTTAATATTTATGCTTATTGAGCCGGTTTGTTGGAAATGTGCTTGAATAGAAGCTTTCAAAGTTAGTTTCTGATCTAAACACACTCCAAGGAATTTAACGATTTTACTTTCTAAGATTTCAATTTTTCATTAAATGAATACTGTAATTCAAATTTGCACGCACACTCGCGCACATACACACACACACACACACACACGCACACACAAGTACATACACGAACAATACAATGTGACCTACAAACAAACAAATACAGTGCAAACATAACAACTAAGGAATTAAGTGGAGTTATGTTGAATTATAAATTGACTTACAACAAACACACGCTATTAAATGTTACGCACATTGTTGAATATTGACACATACACACACACATACACGTACGCACATAGCAAAATAATTGTGATATACATGTAGACATAAATACAAATCATATCCGCACCACACACACGTGAATATATAAAAAAAAACACATGTTACGTATATGTATCTATGTGTTGATAAGACAATAAAACAATGAAAAATTTAAACAATTTTGTATTTTAAATTCAAGTTATTTTCATCATTACAATCTATATCCATTTCCAAATATTGGCATGGAACCAAATCTTCTAAAATTGAACTATAGCATTCAACACAATCAACGTACAAGCCAACGACCAAGGAATTATAAAGAAACGAGAAGTAACGCGAAAAAGTTGTGCGTTAAAAACGTTGATGCAATTCAGATGGTTGCTGGTTTGGTTGCTGCTGCAAATTCATGTTATCTTTCGCTTGAGATTCCATATGGAGACCGATATCGTACCGAAATCTATTACCGACTGATAAATTGGTGCTCACTTTCGATGTATTATTACCGCAAATTTTTAAATTAAACGTTATCATTCAGTAACAATCATTTGCCGACATACAGCATTTTGCATATTTATAAAAACATTTGAAGGAACAAAAGAATTTAAAAAATTATAGAAGTACAAATATTTATGAACATACAAACAATCATTTACATACAAAAATCATTCACATCGGAACAAACATTTATATATATACACTATATTTTTGCTAATAATTACATACATAAAATACATACATAAACACACATACAAACAGAAACACTTCACAAACATTCAAACTTTTACACACACGCCTACCGCAAAAATATTATGGCTGTTGAACTTTCTGGTATGAATAACTGAAAACATTACCCAAAAATTTAAACAAACAAACAATTAATTACGTGAAGACCAAACGGTTGTTGTTTAAAAAAATTATTTTATCTTTGTTTTACTATTGTCATAATAACATTTCTTTGTTTATTTTATTATTATTTATATATTTATTTACGTTGTCATTGCTAGTTTTTATTTTGTCGGCTTTCTTTAATAAATCAAATAATACATATATAGGTTTTATGTTATTGTTCAAAACTTTTTTGGACTAAGTCCTGAAAACGTTTCGATGATTTTTGTTGTTGTTTATGTCCGTGGGGCGGTTAACGCACTGTGAAGATGCCAAGAGTTTAAAACGTCTAAAAAAAACAACAAATAATAAATCAGAAACAACAATATATAAAGAGCAAATAATCGTATTTTATTAAAAAAATGTCGAAACTTTCAAAAAATTTAAAAAACTTCACAAAATGTTCATCAATTCGTCAAAGTAGCGGAGCCTAGCGGCATGCATTTCAAACAAACAACTCACATCAGAGAATCCACATCAACATCAGTAGTGCAAACCACATGTGTTGACGCGTTTATGTACGTTGGCTCTCTACACACACACGTACACACATATGCAAACACAGAAACAATCACACACACACGCAAACATACATACAAACACACTCACACACATCTAAACATATGTATGTACAGTACACGCGCTTGCAAACATACCAATCAACTTATACACACATACACATATGCACACATACAAACAAACACATACATGCACGTACACATATACGCCTGGACAAAAAACGAAATATCTGTGATATTTTGCCATTTAAACCATACTTTTTCAAAATGTAATTGGTATTGATAAGAAGCTTATTCATAAAAGTTTACAACACACATACACACCACACTCACACATACTACACACACATACACGCACACACACACACACACTTAACTTATCTAATACAATCAGTTTTATTAGTGTTATTTCATATGTGAAATAAGAAAGAAAAAATAATAGACTGAAACAATTGTTGAGATTATGGTGGTTGTGGTGTTCATTGTTGGAATGATGATGATAGATGAAGATAATAATTATAGTGATGAGGATGAGGAGGATGACGACGATGAGGAAATGATGATGATAATGATAATGTGTTTGCGTGTCTGCCTATGTATGTCTTTTTGTCTACGTTTGGATACGTAAATGATGCCAGTTTGTTCATTTTTGTACCAGTCTAGAGAGATTTAATAACAAGTTTAAATGGGGCGCTACAATATCCAGCATTACTTTGTAATATAATATAGATGCACACACACACCACACACACACACACACACACACACACACACACACACACACACACACACACACACACACACACGTATACACAGCTATGTATCAGTAATTTTCTTTAATGAATATGCTGATAGCGTTAATGTGTTATGGTAGTGTTATGGTGATAATGTTGTGATAATGTGATGGTTTTGTTATTTTGTTATTACGTTACAACATTCAATTCGGTTAAATCAGTTTGCACCCGTCATCTTAATTAATAAATGTGCTATCATCATCTTTCTTTTTATATCACCATCATCATCATCCCCACCATCATCATCATCACCACCATTACCATCATCATCATCATTTTGATAAAGGCATATTACCATTAGTACGACCCTTGGATGATATTTGTTATTTAATCAATTCGAATGGTACTATATATGAAAAAATATATAACATCTCTGCTAACAACATAAATATTTACGTCTAAAAACATCAACAGTACCTCAAAATAAACACCACTAACAACATTAACAAACACAGCATCAAACATACCTTGAAATATCACCCATGACCTTGCTTCATTATTAATTCCAAGAAATTTAATAATTCGGTATGTGCCTCGCCTGGGTTTGACACGATTTCAAGTTTAATTAACGCCTCACAATGCGATCGCCTTCTCACGAGACTACAAACACACAAGCATTTTTTTTAAAAGTGAGTAGTTACGTTCGGAAGTTCAATTTCATGAATGGTTAACTTTAAACAAAATTCAATCCAACATCAAACATCAACTAAATTTGAGAGCAAAATATCGAATAGATCTCCCCCGCTGATTTCAAGATCATCTGCTGACGTAATCTAATAAATAGTTCTATTCTGTCTGACCGGGTGATCATATGTTTGTGGAAAGACATCTGGCGCGTTCTACGCCATCTTTTATTTGTCTGTCTGTCTGTCTGTCTGTCTGTTTCCATCTGTCCTTCTATTTGTCTGTCTGTTTCCATCTGTCCTTCTATTCGTCTGTCTATGGAATGTTATTGTGATCAGCTTAATAATAGAAAAGTTACTTCGTGAAAATAAATTGATTCAAATACCTCAAATACCTCAAAGAAATATGATTATTGTGAACATCTGATAATATCCGTTTAACAAATATCAGCCGAATTGATTAATTTGCGTAATAATCTTGAACTTCTTAAAAATGTCTGGAAATCAAAATGCTCAATCGGCAATTTTAGACATGCCTACGTTGTACGTAACGCCTACCATTAAATCTTTTTCGTGAAATACTAGATTACATCTTCTCTATTGTAACAGGTAACGTTATTTCATTATATATTTTGGTTTTTATCGAGAATGACTCATGGCTTTATGTGTTGAATAATATGTAAACTTATATTATGTCTGTGACAATTAGACGTACCTTACGAATCTATCTGTGTTGTTTATTAGTGAAGCTAGTTTTATATATATCGCCATTTTTGCATTATTAAAATATTTCGTATTTTGATAATAATTAAATAAACATTATTTAAACTTAATTGTTTGTTATTGTGTTTATTATATCTCGCTCCAGTTATCAGAACATATCATAGCAACCTCAATGTTTTGAACATTATGTTATAAATTATCGTTGGTAAGGCGATTGTTGTTTAACCGAAAAACTTTTAGTTTTCTAATTGTCGTTGTTTGTTCAGCCAGGCTTTTTAATATAAATTTTTGACAAACGAATATTTTGAATGAATGATTAGAATCTTTTAAAATGCGTCAAATTATATTTTAATAAATCTGAATAAATTTGAAGGAATAATTAGCAACCAGCTAACATGAAAAATAAATAAAAAGTTGAGAGTGATATCAATAGAAGAGTGATTCCGTCTGCAAGTGAATTTCAACCGAAGTGCTGCCATTTTTCATTTTCTCCATTTCAACATCGTAGGTGATTTCACACTTGGCAAAATAAGGCAAAGTGTAGATGACAACTTTTATCCTTGTGATGAATCTTTGCTTTATAATTTTTGTATTCAAAGTTTCGGCAGGTTAAGGTGGGTTTCTTAGCCATTTTTAAAAAGTAGGAGAACTGCTGATGTCTGACAACGGCATATTGTTGATCTTTCGTTAGCATTCGAAAACGGTTCATCCAATCACAGTTGTTCTCCTCTAAATAATCCTTGCCCGATGCAACAAACTTTGAAATGTTTTTTATATCATCTGAAGAAAAAGCGAAATCACCATCTTTTGATATTTTGGAAGCCAACAACATTTTGAAAGTTTCTTCAAAAACCGACGACTTGAGCCATGCAAGATATTTTTTCATAATTTTTGAAGAAATGTGTTTAACATTCTCAAATTCTTCTCCAGAGTTACTCATTTTTCCTTTTGTGAAACTATTTCTGTAGACCTACTTGATTTAACGAGATAGTAAATCGAATGATAATCTATTTCGTTGACTGCACACGTATATATATATATAAATATGTGGGCACACAAAGTTTGAATGATAATCTATTTCGTTGACTGCACACGTATATATATATATAAATATGTGGGCACACAAAGCTGCTACGAATAATAATTTTACAATTAACAATTCTAACTCACAAAAGCTCCTTGTTAAAAATCAGTTCCTTATTTTTTACAATCGTACTTAAGTATCTTTGTTCAGCCGTGCCACAATGGATCAACTCAATTAACAAACTTTGGTTAATAAACTTTGTATCGCATCGTTGAAATTTTGTATCACATCCAATTTATTTCGAAATCCAGTTGAGAAAAATTAATACATCAAGTATAAACAAAATTTTAAAACCGTTTACAACCAAAAATTCCCTTAAGTTATTTAATGATTTATGATGAACGCTTTCATCAGCACATCGTCAACTTTATTTGAACTTCATTTTTTATTGTATTGAAAGATGAAAGAAAATTACACTTTACACTTTGGCATGCATTTCATAAATGGTTTAGTTTAAACAAAATTCAATCCAACATCAAATATCAAGTTTATTCGACATACGCCGCAATCAGCTAACATGAAAAATAAATAAAAAGTTGAGAGTGATATCAATAGAAGAGTGATTCCGTCCGCAGGTGAATTTCAACCGAAGTGCTGCAATCTTTCATTTTCTCCATTTCAACATCGTAGGTGATTTCACACTTCACTGCCAACTTTCTTCTGCATGTCGGACACGTAGTTCTTCTTTTGGTCCACTGAGACATGCATGAGAGGTGGAAGGCGTGCTGACATGGCAACTTTCGAACAAACTGGCCCTCAGTAAACTTCTCAATGCACACAGCGCATGAATCGTCTTGGAATTTCTTGCGGAAATAAGGTAAAGTGTAGATGACATCTTTCATGCTAGTCGAACTTTTATCCTTGTGATGAATCTTTGCTTTATAATTTTTGTATTCAAAGTTTCGGCAGGTTAAGGTGGGTTTCTTAGCCATTTTTAAAAAGTAGGAGAACTGCTGATGTCTGACAACGGCATATTGTTGATCTTTCGTCAGCATTCGAAAACGGTTCATCCAGTCACAGTTGTTCTCCTCTAAATAATCCTTGCCCGATGCAACAAACTTTGAAATGTTTTTTATATCATCTGAAGAAAAAGCGAAATCACCATCTATTGATATTTTGGAAGCTAATAACATTTTGAAAGTTTCTTCATAAACCGACGACTTGAGCCATGCAAGATATTTTTTCACAATTTTTGAGGAAATGTATTTAACATTCTCAAATTCTTCTCCAGAGCTACTCATTTTTCCTTTTATGAAATTATTTCTGTAGACCTTCTTATTGTAACGAGATAATTTCTTTAGACCTACTTATTGTAACGCGTTATTAAATCGAATGATAATCCATTTCGTTGACTGCACACGTATATATATATATATATATATATATATATATATATATATATATATATATAAATAAATATCTGGGCACAGAAAGCTGCCACGAATAATAATTTTACAATTAACAATTCTAACTCACAAAAGCTCCTTGTTAAAAATCAGTTCCTTATTTTTTACAATCGTACTTAAGTATCTTTGTTCAGCCGTGCCACAATGGATCAACTCAATTAATAATTTTTGATAAATAAACTTTGTATCGCATCGTTGAAACTTTGTTAATTTGTATCACATTTAATTTAGAATCCAGTTGAGAAAAATTAATACATCAAGTATAAACAAAATTTTAAAACCGTTTACAACCAAAAATTCACTTAAGTTATTTAATGATTTACGATGAATGCTTTCATCAGCACATCGTCAACGCTATTTGAATTTCATTTTTTATTGTATTGAAAGATGAAAGAAAATTACACTTTACACTTTGGCATGCATGCTTACATACATACAATAAATGCATTCACACTAACAACATTATGCATCCATGCACGTACACATACAACACAAACACAACAATACACATTTTCATAAAAAAGATTAACGAGTTCAAGGTAAGTGCCCAATGGCATGCACATTTTGATGCACGTAAAAACAAACGTTTAATTTGAATGAACAGATAAGCGTATACAAAACACCTGTGTATACAAATAAGTGTATACAAACAAGGGCATACGATACATTGCGTGCAATTAACGTTCACAAACGAGCTCACAAAGATGCAAATGTACACCACAAAACCAACAGACAACTTTGTATCAATTAAATGTTATTGGAAGAGTATTGGAGAAAGAATTTAATTAGAACGGAATGACCCACTTCCACTTTAATTGCATTTTTTTTCATTCTTATCAGTATTCACCTTTATCGCTATGAAATTTTTTACCTGGCGTTTTAACATCAGAAGGTATTTTAGTATTAAAAAAGGATATGGTAAGTTGTATATTTATTTGTTGTGTAATTATATATTCGAACATGTGCTGTTGTTTAATCTTAAATATAAGCTGATAACATAAACAAAAACCGACTGAGTGCTATCTACATGCGGGTTGCAATCGTCAAATTGCACAATATCATTACACTGATAGTGTGAACTAATAAAATGCAAGAAACTCTGCATCGCTCTAGTGTAGTGCTGTATATACGTCTGATGCGATGTTGAGAAGAATAATGATACTAGCGTTATAAAATAAGACAAAAAAAAAATTGAAACACATTCACACAAAAAGTGAAAGTGTAAAATTAGTAAGAGAGAAAGAGAGTGAGAGGGGGTAAGAGGCAGAAAAAAAGAAGGAAAGTGAACGTAAGAGCGAGCGAGAGATAGCTTTAGAGTAGGATGGTGGGATGGACAAAGATATAAAAATTTTATTATTGAATGACATCATTTCATTTTAAGAATGTGTTTGAAAAATGAGTTCTGTCTGTTACTGAAATAAATATTCATTACATTAATTTTATTCCTTCGTTCGTTATCGTCGTCTTCATCATTACTGTTTAGAAAGTATTTATCTTTTCACTATCTTTTTATTTCTTTCTGTCTCTCTCTCTCTCTCTCTCTCTTTCTCTCTCTCTCTCTCTCTCTCTTAGCCTGTCTCTTTCTTTCATTCATATGACGCGGCACATAAAAATGTGTCCATGGTATTGATAGAGGGGCGCATCCCCCACCAGATAATTAAAGAAGAAAATGTTGGAAATTTAGCAAAAGAAGGTCATCAACTTTAAATTTCGACAATCATTCCTCAAAGAAAATGGGAATTAACTGAAATTACGGAAATTAGCGATCCGTTCCTCCGTGTGTGTGTGTGTGTGTGTGTGTGTGTGTGTGTGTGTGTGTGTGTGTGTGTGTGCGTGTAGTGTGGTGTTGATTTAACATAGGAATGAAAATTGTATATGAAATGTATATTTGCTTCGTGTGGCGTGTGTGTAACGTGCAAATGAGTGTACATGCGTCGTGTCGTTTGGATTTCATATACAAATTTGAAAAATAATAAGAAAGCACAGTGCTGCTTTTATTATAACTGTACAAAAATAAATTACACTTTACTTGGTTTTGACTATTTTAACCTAACCTCACTACGACACGATTGGTGATAATAATAATAATAATAATAAAACACAAATAATATAAATAATAATAACAGCAATAGTTGTTTTTGTGATTCATATTATTGTTAGTTCTTTCTTAATATTAATGATACAACAGTAAAAATTAAAGTCGTTCATTAAGTAAGTCATTAGATGTGATGTTATAACTATAACTATATACGAATAGCAAACAACATAACCACGTCTTTAATATTAAGAACATTTAAACATTATCTATAATTAAAATAACTTATGTTTGTATATAGTGATATATACTAAAATATTAAACCTATCATTATGTGTCTATCTATAGTGAGGACGTATCCAAGAAGACAATTGTTGCTGTTGTTCAATATGGATTAATCATTTAAAGTAATATTGGTCGCGCTACTAACTATTCTTGAATGAAGTCGAATGAAGTATGTTTGTCTATTATTGTATCTGTTTGTATGCGTGTGTGTGTGTTTGTTTGTATGCGTGTGTGTGTGTGTGTGTTTGTTTGTATGCATGTATGCACTGCTTCGGTTGACAGCGTGGGAATATTCTGAGCAGAAGACTTGCTAGTGAATAGCTCCCTACTTTCATTAGATAGTACATTTACGTGAATGTAGCCAAGTACTTAAAGCTTGTCGAATTAATTATTTTAAACTTGAAAACTTCAATGGTTTTTATATGAAATATTGTTTTTTTTTTGAAAGATGTTAGAACTGTTTTAATTAATAATTTTTGAGCGTACCTAGTTTAGTAGTTTTATTCATTTAATTTGAATTGGATTGAATATTGGTAGTATTAATTGTAAAAATGCGGACAAATTTGGGTGTTGAAACTGTGATGGGAATGATTGTACTGTGCACGACGCGTGCATTTGACGACGGTTGTCACTTTTTGAATTTAATTTAAATTTTTTTGTAGATGACATTGGATATAAATTTTACAAGATAGACTTTTCAAAATGATCAACATAAAAATAATTGGAAATTCAGTAAATTATCAATATTTAACAAATATTGAATTTAAAATTAATTTAATACATTTTAAACATTATTTAAAATCGAAATATAAATAAATAACCCTATAATTCTTTAATCACACCACACAGCAATCGAAGAAACGCTCACCTACACTTCCAATCTAACCAACCTGAGTTACATCTTCACCACATTTCCGCATGGTTTCCAGAACCATTGTAAAACAGACAACGTAACTAGCTCCGGCTCAGCTTTTTGTACGGAAAGAAACTCAATCTTACTGGAAATCTGGAATGAAAAAATGCTTGAAGACTGTGCGAATTTCTTTCCTAATTTTGCATTATGTTTTAACAGAAGTATCCTATCTAGAGTTTTGATAAATGCAGTTTTAGAACCAGAAAATAACAAGTGGTACTGGAAGAGTAATGGTGAGTCATATTCTTTACGATAATTTTTTAACAGAATAATATTTATGATAAAAAAATAAACTACATGTATAATATAAAAAAGTTGTCATTTTGTTTTTCATTTAGGAGTTTCCGTAAATTTTAGTTTGTTTGCACCAAATATTGAAATAGTGGGAACAAGTAATTTAACAGCTTTTTTAAAAAAAGATGGCAACACGTTCATATTTCAAGCTAAAAGCTCTACTACTCCATGGCCAGTTATCTGCATGAGAAGTAAGATAGAACACTTATAATTGTTTTGTTGACAGAAAACTTATAATTGTTTTGTTTCAAAATTTTCAGAAATTATTGTTAAATTCAATCATACCCACTCTTAATTATTATAAGGTTAAAACTGATTTTCGTAACATTTCAAGACAAGACAGATGATGTTGCAACACGGGCACCACCACTGACACCACTACCAGCATCATCCACAACACCATCACTACTCACCACAGAATTGCTTCCAAAACCATCAATCAGTATTTCAACTACAACAGCTTTTAATCGTAACAACAACAACACTGACAACAACAACACCAATGACAACAACAACGTGAAGAATTCAGAAGATGGTGAATTTTTTTTTATCATTTAAATAAATTAATAAAAAATATTGTTAACCGTTTAATATCGCAAACATTATGTATTTTATAATTGAATTGAAACCATGTTTAAAGGTTCCAAAACCTCTAGCGTCGTTGGGGCTCTACTTGGCGTCGCTCTCTTCGTCATATTGGTTTTAACCATTGGCATCGCAATCAAATGCTACATCAAGTTAGTCTTGCTAAGATTTATTTTAAAATAAAAGTTACAAACGATTGCATGATATTGCTACTAATGTACACCAGTTTACAAATTATGTTTCGGTAAATTGACTCAAGAAAAAAATAAAATGATTATCTAACAGAAAGCAGTCGATGCTGCAAGAACAGGGCGCTTATGCTGACTTTAAGTTCGTGAATGTTTCTCTCGAAACCCAGTCACAACAGCAGCAACCACAACAACCACAGCAGCAACAATCAGAACTAGAAAAACAACGACAAAGAAGATTGTCCAACTGCTACGATGCCATCTATGACGTCCTAGATCCCCAACAACCGGAAGAGGTTTCAGTCAAGCCGGACATAATCATCGATCACGTCTACGAGAATTCAGAAGGTCGTGATACCTATAAAAAAGCAAAAGATGTTGAGAAGGAGAGAGTTGTTGAAGAAGAGAGAGATGCTGAGAAAGAGGGAAGTATTGAGAGAGTGGAGAATATTGGGAAGGAGGTAGAAAATTCAAAATTGTGAAGTGTTACGAAAAAATGCTAGACGTTAAATAACATTACAATTTTTGTTAGCCAATTTTGTCGAGTGATGTCAGTCGGTGGTTTTGTTTTGATCTTCAAGTTTCTTTTTTTTTGGTTTCATTGGCTTATTTTTGGTGTATGTTTTCTTTTTCTCTATTTAACCCGCTTTATGTAACTAGCAACAGTATTAATTATTTAATCTTAACATTCAAATTTATCTTAATTGAAAAAAGCTTATTGAAATAAACAGCTTTTTGTTACACACTCGAGTTTATAAATTGATAAATTATTAAATTTTATTTGCGTCAGTTCATTGACGTATTAAACTCAGCCAGGGTTAAAATTTTTCGTAACCTGTTCAGAAAATCACTACGTAGACTCTCCACATTGTAGATAAAAATGTTAACGTGCACATGCTAACATGCACGCATAAGCAATTTTTATTTATTTAAAAAATTTATAAAGCGCCAATTAAAAAAAAAGAAAAAAGCAATGCATTTCCTAAATAATCTAGGCACGCATATACACCAATACATAAAGACACACAGAAGCAAATTTACACACATTCATTCCAGTCAGTGAAACAGACGGACCTCTCAAAGTATTTGCATTATAAAGTGCAGTGAGGTGTTTAGCGTAACTAAATTACTTTCTGCAAATTTTTTTCCAACACTTTATATATCTTTATTTGCACATCTGTCAACACACGTTTGCACGTGTGTTTCCATTCAATACACACAAACGCGCAACATTCTTTAAATATAACGTTTATATAACACAATACTTTGTTAAACAATTTATGTTCATTGTCTGTTTATTTCGTGAATTTATTTTTGTGGAAGAAAAATGACGTTTTCCATCTTAAATGTTATGATAAAATACAAAATTTTTATAATTAATTAATTTCTAACGTTTCTATCACAAATTCAAGAATAGATACTATATGTAAGTACGTATGAACTACGATTGTCGAGAAAATTCTAACAAATTGCACAAAAATGTAAGTGAATGAGGAGTAGAACTGAATACAAGCAAAATAATTAGTAAAGAAAAAGTGGTTAAAAATGAAGGATAACCTGAAAATATATATAACGAAATATTACGTTAGATGACAGGCTTACACAACACACACACACACGCGCGCAAATAATTTTGTGAGAAACTACCTATGATAATGACGTTGATAACAATGGCAAGGATAAAGGTTTACCAACGTGTAATAGCACTGATGGTTAATGAAACAAAATATTTTGATTCAATCGATAGGTGTTTAAAAAATTTGTTCCTCTAGTATTTTTTACTTTTACATAAAATTTTTAAAATAGCTTTTTTAAATTTATTCGATCATCGGTATAAATAGTGAATAAAATGTAAATAGATTAACTTTCGACACTCCCAACTACAAAAGAAAACTCAGCACCACAATTTTTAATTTTTCGGATTCTTGAATTCATACTTACTAACCAAAACCGGGAAATTGGTTTGGTACAAGACAAAAAATTTTGCAACTGCATTCTATTGGCAGTTTAAAGGTTTAATTCTATTCTAAACAAATTTTCGCATCGCTCATCAAGAAGTTCCAAATGAATACAATTGATACAATTTTAATTGATACAATTTTGGCTTGACGATGAAAATTTCAACTTACTACCAGACAAGAGGTTTTGTATTCTCATGCTAGATTATAGAAGAACGTTTAATTGCTTGGTAAGCGTTATTCGTTTTTAAAATTTTGGTAAAATTGCTAGTGTTGTTATTATTGCTGTTAGTGCTTTTACATGGCATGAGCAATTTTTAAATAACAGTCAGAAAATCAGAAAAAAGACCGTTTTATGTAAAAAAAAATCGCCCAAAAAAGGTCGACAGCCACACAAGCACAAACCTTGGCCACCCGTCAAAATTTAAACGTTTTCAAAAAGTTGCCTAGATCCACCACTGGTTGCTGTTATTACTTTTATAGCTTTTTCAATTTATTATTCATCTTATTATTATTGTTATTTATTCATTTATCTAGAATTAAATAATTAATTTTTTTTATATTATTTAAAATCTTCGGATTAAAATCAACATCGTAATTTTAAACTTTGGTCCCTAGAGTTCCCAAAATTTTCATTCTAAAAGTTCAAGCAATATCGATACTAAACTGGCCGGATGTAATCGTGAGAAAGCAACATTCGTTTGGCTATTTAAATAGTTATACAAATGGCTATTTAAATGGTTACACAAATGAATATTTAAATGGTTATATAAATGGTTGTGTAAATGGTTATACTAAATGGTTATATAAATGATTTTATTATATATATAAAATATATACATATATATATATATAAGATGATTCTAATTCATAAAGGAAAACTCTTGCCAAAAAAATGAACGCTTGCTAAACAAAAATCCACATTCAGTTTTTTACGAACATCGATGACTTAAAGGAAGAGAGGGAGTTACGGCATGAAGAAATGAAAAGAAATTAAACTTTTATTAAAAATTATAAAGACAATCAAAGAGATTACTGCGACACACGTGCAACCACGTAACGCAACAATGACGTCATAAATACGTCATCAAGCCAGCGACAACATTATAACGACAACATCATTATTACAACACTACATTATCATTATTACATTATTACAACATTACAGCAGCAGTAATAAATTATTAACCATATCATTGATAAACAGCTATCAATTTTTTTTACATTACCATCACCATCAAAACAATAACAACATCGTCGTCATAGCTATGACGTCATCATAGCTGTGACATCATCAACGAAACTGGCCACAAATTGTTACGTTTGATGCTGTGAACCAATATTATTTTCAATCATTATTTTATTTAAAGTGATTACCATCATCACCGCCATCATTACTATCACCGTTACAGCCATGGATATAATCATTATCATCATCGCCATCATCGTCGTCGTCATCATAACCGTCTTCGTTATTATTGTCAATGGGAGTATGATTTTTTTTTTTTTTGATTATTTATGCGTCGTTGTTGTTGTTGTTGCTACTGCTGCTGTAGTCATATCTTTATCATATCTTTCTCATCATCATCAAAA